ATTCTTCCCTCCCCCTCCCTCTCCCCCACTATGGCTCAGCATTTCCTTATTAGAGAAAACATTTGGCCTTGGGAGAAATAACGTTTTTAAATTTAGGAGGACTTGATAATGGTCAGGAAAACCTGAACTTTCATCCAATTTTATCCCCCAATAGTATTCAGACTTAGGATATTTAAGAACTGCTGTATTGAGCCTTGTCCACCCAGGGGGTGATAAAAAAAAGTCAGGGAGAGAAAAGAGAGGTAAAGCACAATCCCAGAACTGATTGAAATGAAAGTCAGAGATAACTTCAAAATTTCCTATTTGGAAAATTATGGTACCCTTCGTTCGTCTGGAGATGCTTAACAATCTTGATGCCCTTGACATATTTAAGATGAGTTAAATCAGAATTTCTGAGGTGGGACCCAGGCATCATTACTCTTTATAGCCACGCGGCATTCTCAGCACATTAAGCTGGAGAATAACTACCAGAGTGAAAACAAGAAAACCCAGCAGGATATTGACATGACCAAGGAAGGGGAGAGTATAATCCTAGTCACAGGGGAGTTTAAGTTTCCAACAGGGCATCCAGGAGGAAATTAAAGACTGGATCTCAGGAAGGACAGAGCAGGACTTTGGAGTTATTCCTGCACTCAATGAATACCCCTTCGGGTCTGTTAAGCACCAGGATGTGCAGTCCAAGGAACAGCTTTCTGGTTCCTGTGAGGGACTTATATCTGGGGGAAGGGAACAGATTTCTCAGCAACTGAGAAGTAGAAAGTGATGTAGCCTTTAAGATGGAATCTGTATCTAGGTCAGGAAAGAAGGGTTCAATGCTCTTGAGAGTGACCAGAAAAGGCTTCATAAAGAAGGGACAAGGAGGTGTGCAAGTTCCAAGCCAGCCTCAGCAACTTGGTGAGATTCTCTCTCAAAATAAAAATAAGGGTTTGGTGATGTGGCTAAGTGGGAAAGCACCTGGGGGTTCACTCACCAGTACAAAAGAAGAGGAAGAAGAAGGGACAGGGAGAGGGTAGGCTGTGGGGAATAGAGAAAGGAAGGGGAGGTTGTAGGAGCTTATGAAGCTTAGATACAGCAGACTAGAGAAGAAAATGAAACCAGGTAAAGATCTTTGAGAATTAGCAGAGAAAAAGGCAGGTAGGCTAGAGAAATGCCTGCAGGTAAGGAGGCACTCAGCACAGTAGCCCAGGGAGGTCAAGGAGGATAAGGCTGGTCGTGAGAGTTGATGATCCCATAACCAGAGAAGTCAGTTTCCAAGTGGGACAGCTGGGGGAGAGACACTGGATACCATTTGGAATTGGGCCCTTCTAAAAAGTGAAGGATAGCTGGAAGGCTAGAGAAAAGATTGTGGGTAGAGTTTGGGGAGCATCTTTAAGCATTGAAACAGAGAATCCCGAGGAGGTGCCCTATAGTAGGAAAGTGGCCTCTAGCTATTTGCAATGCATTCTCCTAGTGTGGAGATGGATGGTCTTGGGTCAAGTCACTTCCCCTTCCTCTGGGTGTCACTATTTCATCTGCAAAATTATAAAAATAGACACTTATCGGGTTTCTAAGGCCACATACTGCTCTAATCTAAACATTTTTGTGGTTAAAAACAGCATCAAGTGAGAGGACAAAAATTACTCTCAGCTGCATAAATCGTGACGGTGAGTCATCTTTGTCTTCTACACATGTGCACTCTCCATGTCTGGTCACCTCACTTTAAGGGCACCACCCACTACGGCCCACTTTTCTCAAAGTGAGTGTTGGTGAAAGGTACCCTCTATCATTTAGGGATGCAGAAGGTGATGAAGCACAGTTATAAAGCTGCACATTCTGAAATCAGACAGTCCTTCGTTCAGAGCGTGACTTTCTGAAAAATCACCCACTTTAATTTTTCTAATCTGTAAAATAAAGTAGCAATGGTTCTAATCTCATAAAGTTATTAGGGGATTACGTGAAAGAATGCATATGATGTATTTAGAACACATCTTGCTTGTCCTAGCAAAGAAAACATTAATGTTCTTAAGTGCATAAAAAAGCAAGACCCTGTGCCAGAAAAGTATATGACTTCCCTTTTGCTATATTCTCCCTTTGAATCAAATAGATCCTTTTTGAAAAGTAAAATATCACACTCGATGGTTTAGTCAGCTTTTTTGCTGCTGTGACTAAAAGACCTAACCAGAACAATTGCAGAGGAGGAAAAGTTTATTTGAGGGCTCACAGTTTCAGAGGTCTTTCAGAGGCCGGCTCCATTCCTCACAGCTGGAGGTGAGGCAGAACATCATGACAGAAGAGTGTGGCAGAGGGAAGGAGCTCACATGATGATCAGAAAGCAGAGAGAGCCACACCCAATTCCCATCCTCCTCCATCCACAGGCTACCACTTCAGTTATACTTGGTTAATTCCTATCAGGGAATTAATCACTGATGGGTTAAGACTTTCACAACCCAATGGTTTCTCCTCTGAACCTTGTTGCATTGTTTCACCAGTGAGCTTCTGGGGAACACCTCACATCCAAAACCATAACACTCAATAAACAAATTCAACTAATGGTAGTAATATAGGCTCCAGAGTCAGACCACCATGATTCAGACTCTGGCCAAGCTAATTATTGGCTTTATCTTCCTGAATTTCAGATTGTGCATTTTGTAAACATAAGGTTAATACTACCCAATTACCACGACTGTAAAGACTAATTTAAGACAGATTCTCAGTTTCAGGCACTAAGCACATTTTAAGTGTTGTTTGTTTCCACCTAGTATTGTGACTTACACACAAATAAATGCTTAGTAAGTATTCTTGGAACTGAAATTGTGGTCAGATTCTGCTCTGGGAATCCAGGCATTTTACTAGTGTTTTTCTCTAGGATTCTGCTCCTTCTCTGAACTCAACTCATCTGTGAAATCTATTATTGGTTCCCAGACCACATTAACATTGACTGGGTTGATTTTTCAACCCAGACCATATTTAGAATCGACTGGGTTGATTTCCACCCCTCAGGAGGAGGGGGATCACGGACAGAGTGGCAGAGAACAGAAAGAGGTAACTTCAGGTACCACAACACCCTGGAGGGCACAGGGAGAGAGGAAAGCGTCTGCCCAGAAATAGCTGAGGTAGAACACAGACAGTACTCATCTACCTAGGTTCTGTTCACCTAGCCAGCCATCTGTCCAGAATTCCCTCCTTGCTGCTGTTGTCTTCTGTCCTGGGTGCTTTGATCCTGCCATTTAAGGAAATCAAACAAAGGGGAAAACACACACACACACACACACACACACACACACACACACACAACAAACCTTCCAAATAGAAGTAGCAGTGTTAGGTATATGTGGATGTTTGATTCTTTCCTAATTCTCATTTCTTCATGGAAAGGCAATGACACCAACACATGGCTAACCTAAAATTGACTTTCTCTTTTAAGATTTGATTGTAGGCTGCAGAGAAGGCAAAATATTTTGCTAGAGGCTATAACATGAAATAGAGAGTAGGCTGGTGATGTCACAAAAGAGGTCTTCAACAGTGTCAGCAGAGACTTGCAGGGATGACTAAAGTTGATAAATGGCACCATGTGAAATAGCTAGTTAGTTACCCCATATGAGCAGGTGGAGAATATTAGTTATAGGTAGGTCAGAGCTCATTATGAGAAATACCAGCACAAGAAAGAATGTTTCATTCTAGATTTTGGAGTCTCAGGTATTTACTCACTTAGGTCAAGAAAAATGGAAGCAATAGAATTAGAGATCTATGAAAAATGTTAGCCTCTTGGCAGCGCCTTGCAATTGGTTTTGAGCTCTATATTAAAATATGTCAGACCAAGTCCCACAGGTCTCCCTAGTCACCATATCCAGCAGCCACAGGCTACCACTTCAGTTACTACTTGGTTCATATCTATCAGGGGCTTAATCACTGATGGGTTAAGACTTTCACAATCCAATCATTTCTCCTCTGAACCTTGTTGCACTGTTTCACCAGTGAGTTTCTGGGGGACACCTCACATCCAAACCATAACACTCAATTAACAAATTCAACTAATGATAGTAATATAGGCTCCAGAGTCAGACAACCATGATTCAAACTCATTTGTGAAAATGAGTTCCCAGTTAACCTCAGGGAGCAAGATCCACAGGCACCAGTAGCCCATTTTATGCCTAACTGACATGGCCTGCAGAGGACCCACTCTCTACAAGTTCCCCCCATAGCTCACTGGAGATTGTAAACCGCTAATCCAAGGTTAACTGAATGCAAAATCAAAGAGAGAAATTCAGGTTCTGCGGAAAAACAGCCAGAAAGGGATTGGGCTTCTCAAATTCAGATTTACATTCCAAAGTAGCCCTGAAGCCAAATCCCTGCCAGAGCAGAAGGAAAGTCCCTCTATTCTCTGGAAAACAGTTCCTAGGAGAAGGGATTAGAAACCAAGATCTCTTATGGTGGCGCCCGGCGGTTCCCCTTGGAAACAGGAGAAATACAAAGGGCGCCGCTTGGGAGAACCCGCACTGGTGTGCCAACAGGTCTTCTCTCCGTTTTAAAGGACAGCCACGCCTCGGCTCCCCTATCTCTATGGCAGGGCGGCAGTGGGATGTATATTTCTAGTTATTCAATTTTTTTTCAATGGTTAAAGATTTTACGGACGACTTAAGCGGTTTATGTCTTTTCCTTAATTCTGACAATAATCCCGAGGCTCGTGTTATTAACCCTGTATTTCCTGGCCTACAAAGGGCGGCGAAAGGGGCGCAGACAAGGGTGGCAATCCGCCCAGGAAGCGGCGGGAGCAGAGCCGGGGTCTCCACCTCCCACTCGGGACTTCTGCCTGCCTCCGAGGAGCCCGCCTGGGTGCGGGGCGGGCGCCGCGTCCTTCCCGCGGGGCTCCCAGCGCTGGGCGGTGCCCGCGGCCACACCTGATGCGGGGAGCGCCTCGCAGGGCGCGCGCGGCAGGTGCGAGGTGCGCCCGAGACTCCGCCCCGCGCCCCCGCCCCGAGCCGGGTGCCCCGCAGCGGCCGCAGGACGCGCCGCCTCCGCCCGCGCCCGCCAAGAGGAGGAGCCACGGGCACCGAGCGGGAGGAGTCGGGAGTCGGAGGGCGGCGGGCGGAGGCGGATTTCCTGGGCCCGGCTCTCTGGGGCCACTATGGCGTTTGGGAAGAGCCACCGGGATCCCTACGCCACCTCCGTGGGCCAACTCATAGGTAAGGCGGCGCGGGGAGACACGCCCGGGCGGGCGGGCTGTGGGGATCGCGGGGTCCGTCCCGCTCGACTCGGTTCTCGGCCTGCGGAGGAGGGAGTTGATCCCAGTTGGAGGAGATCCTTCCGCCCCCATCCCCCCAGCTTTCCCAGGGCACCCACATTCCACCAGCCCCCTTCCCGCGTTACTGTCTGGGCCAACTCACCTTGGAACTCCTTTTCCCCAAATTCTCTCTCTTTTGCTGACTTCTGGGTAGTGGAACCGAACAGGTGAACCCCAAGGCTTTGCCATGGTGTGTTGGGGCCTCTACCAGGAGAGGCTGGAAACTTGTTTGACTAGAGGAAGGTTATTCAACAGGTGCGTTCACCCGCGAGCTGTTAGGCGTGTAGTGTTGTTCCATACTGTTATGCCCATTTTGCAGATGAGGGAAAGATGTGATCTCACTGTGAGAGGCTCAGCAAACCTGAGCTGTCTTTTGAGGTAAACAAAGAGAATGAAAATGCTTGGCATTGGAGTAAAGGGGGGAAAGAGGAGAGGTGTCAGCTGGTGACAAAACTGGAGACAAGGGTGGGCCTCCTAGGCACCGTACTACCTCTTTTCTATCTCCAGTGGCTATCCTCTGAATTATGTAGGTGTAAGCATAAGTCAATGATTGGACTCTTACCATCACCACCTCACTTCTCCCTCTTTTTCTCGATTCCTCCTCTTGGGAACGGGGTGTGGCACCCTGGCATATTAAAGGCAAGCAAACTGTCTGTTGGGAACTTAGTGGGATGATGAAATCGTGAGAACCTGGTACTTGGAGCAAGAAGGCTCAGACTTGCAAGATTTGAGTTACAGCCCACCTAATTGCTGTGTGACACAGAACAGACCACTTACCCTGAACCTGAGTTTCCACATCTTTATGGGACCAGGCACCCCAGCCAGGCTAAATAAGACATGGTCTCAAGCTTCAAGGAATTCACTTTCTTTTATTTTTAATTTTTTTCCAGTAATGTGGATTGAACTCAGGGGGACTCTACCACTGACCCACATCCCCAGCCCTTTTGATTTTTTGAGAGAGGATTTTGCTAAGTTGCTCAGGCTGGTCTGGGATTTGCAATCCTCCTGCCTCAGCCTCTCAAATCACTGGATTACAGTCATGCACCACCTGATGGGAACTCACTTTCTTATAGGGCAGACAAGTTTGTAGTAACTTGTGTATGATACTTTTAGAAGAAAAATATAAAACACATAAAACCTATGAAAAGGGAGAGATGAACCCTGCCGGGGTCTTTGAAGGGTGAATAGGAGTTTCTAGGAAGATAAGGTTGGGAGAAGAGCAAGGAATGGAAGGAGACATCTTATAGATGGGACAACCATATATGCCTGACAGTGCATCGTTGCTCACCTTTGTCCACTGAGTGCCAAATTCTAATAGCTCTTTTCCTGGGTGGGAAGCAGGCTAAACTTGGGGGTTCTCCCAACCAAGTCCTTATTCTTCTTCCCCTTAGTCTTTTCTCCTTGTTTTGTCTTCATTTTCCTCAAAAACTATGTTATTTTCATGCTTATGGACCACACCTTTCTCCAATGAAGATATTAAATTCATTCATATAGGGTATTTCCCTTCCTAGATAGCATTTTGTTTGAGGTACTGGGGATGAAACCCAAGGTCTGGCACATGGTAGGCAAGCGCTCTACCACTGAGCTGCATCTTTAGCTCTTCTTATTCTTTCTTTCTTTTTAAAAATATACATATATATATATATATTTAAAAATATATATATATTTATATATATATTTTTACATGTAGATAGATATTTTATTTGTTTATTTTATGTGGTGCTAGGGATCCAACCCAGTGCCTCATGCATGCTAGGCAAGTGTTCTACCACTAAGCCACAACCCCGGACCCTTATTCTTTATTTTGAGACAGGTTCTTGCTAAGTTGCCCAGGCTGGCCTTGAACTTGCCATCCTTCTGCCATGGCCTCCCCAATAGTTGGGATACAGTCATGCACAATGACACCTGCTTTAACATTTGGTCTTCTTGAAGAGAATGCCTGGAAAAGGGAAAATATCTGATTATTTAATGATGGGGTTCCAGGTACAGTCTGCATGGAAGTCTGCCTGTGGTAGCTTTGATAGTGTAGACTAAAAGTGGTCTTGCTCAGTCATTCTGTTCTCTCTCCCTTTTTCTCACCACCACCTAACAAATGATTTTAAAAAACAAACAAACACTGAGATCAAGCAATTTTGGATTTCAATATAAGTTCTACCTCCTACTTGCTGTGTAACCTTGGGTAATTTCCTTAACCTCTCACAATTTGTTTGATCATGTCCAACAGTGGGTTAAATGGGATTGCAAAATAAAATACTTAGCTCTGTGTAGTTCCCCTAGTAGGCGGCTGCTGAATAAGCTCTAGTGCTGTTCTCTGAAAGTTGGGCAGATGGAGATCTAGCTGGCCTGCTTTAGCCCCGTAGCCAGGTGTTATGCTTGCAGACTTCATTAATAGGTCACTCATTACTGTTGCAACAGCAGCACTCTGAACTTGAGTTCTGAGTGATTCCTGAATTACTGAGGATTGTTCAGGGGAAAAAAAAGGAGTCACTTTGCCCTATATAAACTTAATGGTACTTGCTGTTACACCCTGGGGCAGATTATTTAAGGGAGACATTTTTTTACTCTGTTGTAACTCAGACTCAACACAAGCAGCTTTTTCTTTGCAGAAAAGGCTACATTTGCTGGAGTTCAGACTGAAGACTGGGGCCAGTTCATGCACATCTGTGACATAATTAACACTACCCAGGATGGGTGAGTTCAGTGTGGTGTCCAAGTCTTTGCCTTTGATAAGAAGCATCAGATCTATAACATGTTTTTTCTTGCCAACTCTGGTTTTCTTATTGAAAGAGGATTTTTATCATCCCTTAGGGACCCTCTACCTTTTAAAGATGTCAGGTTTTGACTTATTGGGCAGCTCTTGCTGGGACATGTGGAATATCTGAGAATCCATTGTAATTTTTTTTCCCTCTCCTCTTTCAGTTTTCCTTAACAGTTTCAAATTTTGTCTCTGAGAAACTCAGATGCCTTGTTTGTAAAACATTAAAAAATATATATATATAGAGAGAGAGAGAGAGAGGGGGGGGGAGAGATTGTTTCCTTCCTTAGGAATTTTTTCTGCTCTGATTGCCAGTATTTTGTGTAACTAAAAAATATTGTTCAGAAACTGGTTAACTCCTGGTGGTGAACAATCTCTGGACATTCATCTTTATAACCAGGAAATGATCTAGCAGTCTTTTTCTTCCTTGTCATAGGACAGATTGTTTTGTTTTGTTTTCTCCTTAATGCCAATATAGCCATGTTTGTGCTGTGTATATTTTAAATAATGGATGCTACTTTTTTATATAATTTTTAAACTCTAGAGAATTGAAGTTATAAGAGAAGTTATTAAGAAGGGCCTACATGGGCTACAGTTGTGGCTCAGTGGCAGAGCACTTGCCTAGCAACATCGACAATTGAAAAAAATATTAAAAAAAAAAGAAGGGCCTACTAGTTTGAATTTAGTCAGCTAAGGTTATTATAAAAGACACAATTCCATTAATTTTCTTACAGGTATTCAAGTGACATTTGACAGGAAAAGATGTAATCTAGCTCATGTTGAGAAGAAAACATGACAACTTAATTACTGATTATATATTGATGGAAAGTACTATGTCACCATCACACTGTTCATGATTTTTTTTCTCTATAATCTTGTTTACCATGTTTAGATCTTCTGTGAAGCTTTTCATTGATACGACCAATTTCTTCACTGCTAATACATAAGGAGAATCTAGTAAATTCTAGCCCTCTATTTATAGTTCTTCCTTTGTAACATGATATTGAGGCATCTCAGAAGCTGACCTCCTTTGCTGTAATTCTTCCACTATCCCTTTGCCTAGGGGGTGCTCAGGAAATGCCAGTTGACATTAAAGTGGTAACTGTCATTGATTGTCTTGGAAGTTAGATTTCCTGTAAACTGGTTCTGTGTATTGGTAGAGGAAATGGGTATAAGCATATTTCATGAGTAGTGCTTTCTGGGTAATACTCTTAGGTAAATATTTTGATTGCCACCATAAGGTAGGTGGAATTGTCTGATTGTATCCATGAGGGGAAATTTAGGTAAGAGAAGGTACATGATCTCCTGAGATGGCAAACCAAAACCAAGGTCTTGGTCTTCTGCTCCTTAGACATTTCTGTTTGCACAATGCATATTGGTTTTCAGAAAACAATTTGCATGCCTAAATTGGTGATTTCTGTGTTTATTGCTATAGGCCAAAAGATGCAGTGAAAGCTTTGAAGAAAAGAATTTCCAAAAATTACAATCATAAAGAAATCCAACTTACCTTGTCAGTAAGTACTTGAATGTTCTAAGTAAGATTCTAGGATTTCCCAAGTTATAATTACATTTTTAATCCTGGGTTTTAAAAAAATCTACCTATCTGTGTGTACACACACACACACACACACACACACACACACACACACACAAATATTCTGAAGTAACAATAGGTTAGCAAAATTTTATATACTGTATGAGTTAAGTTTATTTATAGAGAATTGCAGAATAGAATTTAACTGATTATAATAGCATTTGATTTTGTGGAAAGAGTACTCCTGGAGAATCAGTTTTTCCTGGTCAGGAGATAGGAACTTGTGATTAAAAATTTACAGATGCTGAACCAGTGAAGAAGTTTGGGCATGTCTTAATTAACCATAACTGAAGGTGGGAGGAATTAAAGTCTTGAAAAATGCCCCCCCCACCCTTAGTTTTATATCTCCCTTAAACACTTGTGTGGAATCCTGCATGCTGGCAGCTCATTTAGTTTGGACCAAGTTCTGCTGCATGGTATCCTTGGGAAAATGTTCTTTGTTGATTTAAGCAGTTCTGTGTACTGTGTTGTCTGTGGTCTCTTACGTGACTTGTTCCCATTCCCCCCCCCCCATTCTTGGCCACATGACCTCTTCAGTCACGTTGGTGAGTTGCCCTTTTTGCTTTGATATGTGTTGCAAGCTCTGCCTGCTGCCTGAGAGTGAGCTGTGACATGACTCTCCAATTTCTTCTGCATGCCTTATTTACCTCTGCCAGGCCCCAGACCATGCATGGTTATAAGGCTCTGGTTGGCCAGCTTCATGCTACTCTGTGGGAGAGTTGATCAGGAGGGTGATGGGGCAGAGGAGAGGGCGGGCGGCTCTCTCGTTTTAGATTCACAAGGAAGAAGAAGGGTCACATCTTGTGTGCTTGGAGACTAATTCAGTGAAAAGAAATGAACAGTCTTCAAGATGCAGTCACTAAAGAAACCCTTCACAGTGGAATCTGAATGTAGCTTAGAAGCATTTCCCTTTTTTGACCTCTTTTCTGTCTTTACCTCATGGCAGTGACCTTAGGAATTTCACAGAATGGAGGGGAGACATGAGTAAGGCATTTCTGTGGAAATACCAAAACAATGTCCCAGTGTTAGAAATGCCTGGCACCTGACTGATATTCTTGACGTCAGTAGAGATGGTTATGTTATTAATTCCATTTCAAAGGTGACGAATCTAAGACTAAGCGAGGTTAAGTGATTTCCCCCCTCCACCCAAGATTAAATGGCTATTACATAGCCTGAACCTAGTCCTCAGATTCCAAATCCCACACCCTTACCCCCAAACTACTTTGCCCCTTGGAATGAATCAGGTCTCTTAAAGAGCAGACTACTGTGTTTCATTTGTGACTCAGCTCCTTCATATGTGTGTGTTGTGCCAGGCTCATCAGTATTGACTGAATAGATGATCATCTGCACATTCCCCTCCCACTTCTCCTGGTATTCAGGAAGCCTCAACAGCTAATGGAAGGGATAGTAGAGCTGTGGCAGAAACCAATGTAAATGTGCCCTAAAATGAAGTGGATCCAGGATATCTCAAGGCTGCAGAAGATTAAGAGAATTGAGTGAGGAAGAAAGGGGATGGCGAATTTGGGGAATGCCACCTTCTCTGTTTCAACTCACCATTGTTTCCCCTTTGTAAGGGTCTGCCTCTTTCTGTACCGTGTCTGGCTTGCTTGACATTTCTGTGGTTGCGTGTCTCCGTCTCCATGCCTTCCTCCATTATGGGTTCTTCCCTCTGGGGATGAACCAGTGCCTTCCCTGAGGAAGCTGGGTTGTGTCAGATTGTTGTGGTTCCTTTTTGGAGGGGTGACAGTGTTTCTGCTCTTAACTCAAGCTTGGACTTCTCAAGCCTTGCTCTGAGCTAGCTGCTTGTTTTCCATGAACTTGTCCACCTCGTAACTGCGCCACCTCCGCCCCAAGCTTGCTGTGCCAGTGTGAGAACAAAGCAATCTAAAACCTGTACTGAAATAAGGATGAGTCATGGTGGAGGGATTAGAATACAACTTTGTTGTTAGAGTCAGAGTTCATGAAGGTCAGAGAAAAATGCATCTTTTCTCTTGAATTCCCTTTAATATCTTTGTGCAGATTTCCCCAGGCTGTGTACATAAATGCCCAGGCACCTCACCTCAGACCAGTGCCTATGGACTGGCTCCAGAATTCAGTTGAGCCACACTGAATTATGAGGGAAATTAGTCACAGAAAGAATCACCCAGTGTCTGTCAAAGGGAATTATAAGTTTACCAATAAACTCTTTAAAAAAAGTAATCCCCCATGTGGCAATTCCATTTTATCACTGTGAAGTTATGACAGCCCGTCAAAGTCAATTATACATGTTCTTCATTTTATCTGCCATTTTGGGTTCTCCATGGACTTGTTAGCCTTGATTAGGTCCTTGATGGGATCTGACTGTACTGTGATTTCTTACCATAAGTTGATAAGTTTTATTAAGGAGCCAGTCATTTGTTTTGCTTTGTTTCTGTTGTGCTGAGGATTAAACCCAGGGCTTTGTGCATGCAAGGGCCATACCTTTGAGCTACATCCCCAGCCCAAGAAGTCAGTAGTTTTGTTTTTGTTGTTTTTTTTTTTGTTGGTTTTTTTTTTGGGTACTGAGGATGGAATCCAGTTTTGTTTTGTTTAAAAAAAAAAATACTTTTGTTTTTGTTGTTTTTTGTTTGTTTGTTTTTTGGGTACTGAGGATGGAATCCAGTTTTGTTTTGTTTAAAAAAAAAAAATACTACTGTTTGATTTTATTGCTCTCAGCCAGAAGCTAACCTATTCTTGAATGAGTCAATTGTGATAGATCTCAGCAAGGTATCATTGTTAAACACAGGAAAGTGGTTGAACAGGTTCCTGAGAATCAATGAATTAATAGACCTTTGTGGAATACCCATTAAGTAGTGAGCTCTAGTAGTTTCGGAAGTCTTGTGAAATGTGGCTCTCCCTTCAGCAGCAGTTAGAGGGGCTGTGGAGGCTGCACTGTCTCCTGTGGGTGTCATAGTAGGGTAACGTAACCATACCTTGGTATGGTCACCAAGAATGGTCCAGGTGTATTTTTCAGCTCTGATGGCTCTGAAACCTGATTGTTGTCCCTGTGCCTTGATTAGAATTTACTATGAAAAACATAAAGCCACATAGCTCTTTTTCTTCCAGTCCTCTCTGAAGAGAATATTTCTATCACAGATTGGTTCCTTCTCTTCTAGAAGAAATTTCTCCATGGAAGCAAATGATCAAAATGGCTACTGTCTACTGTTTCATGTCAGGTCCTGTTTCATGTCAGGCTCTTAGCATACATTATATTTTATGTAGTCTTTAACAACAAGCCTCTACATGGAGGTACTTGTGTCCATTTTGTGTGAGGATACCCAGGTTTCAGATAGATGACTTACCCAGCTGAGCACAAAAGTAGACCAGTGAAGCTTAAAGTCATTCACTTAGATCTCTCTTGGTCCCTTGGCTCCTCGGTTCTCTATCACACCTGAGATTATGGACTCTTGCTTCTCCAGTTTTCCAAGGTGGGTTATCTAATCTCATATATGCCAAAGTTAGATTGCAAAATATGTAAAAGGGACATATGTAATTTCTCCAATTTGCCACAATAGGTTTTATGACCAATCTAATTGGGCTGCTGTGTGAGTACTGGAGACATAATGGAAGAGGTGATAGAGAAGTAATTAGTCCTGACATCCTAGATTCCAATGGGAAAACACAAAGGGCATGATTGCTGATCTCCAGATGTTAACATTCTCAGAATTTCACTTTGGCTTTTTGATCCTGTGCATGTGCCCCGTTATAGTAAAATACCGGTGCTCCAAAAGACAAAAGTTGATTTGCAGAATATTTAGAAAGAAATTCACCATTCACTTCATTATAAGCAAAAGCGAAACTCAGAGGCGTACGAGGTACCTACGCCAAGATTCCGGTGAAGTATTTCTGTAAACTCATTAAACCAATGACACTCACCCTCTCAGCATCTCACCCATTAAAAACTTTTATCAAGTTCACCGTCATTTGTCACTCCCCTTTTCAACTTTGTCTAATCAACTTGTATTAGTAAAGATTCAACTTACTGTGCTATGGATTTGTTTCCTTTGCTTTAAAGGTGTTCCTTGGGTGTCACCTAGCTCCATGTGCTCAGCCCCTCCATTTCCTGATTGCCTTCTTGGTCACATTGCCTTAAAACTATAGCTTTCATATGGCAAAAAAATAACACTCGAAATATAGAGCATGGTAGCAAGTCAAGTTTCAGGGCTACTTTTCTGCAGAAATGATAATCCCTATCCTGGTTGGTTATGGTTTCTGTGACCTCACTCACTCAAGATAGTGGAGTGATTTAATTTTGTTTTTAGATCACTTGTTGAAGTCTACCTTCTGCATGCAGTTCTTTCATACTAGCTCATTCTCTGATTTCTGCTCATGTTGCTTTTTGAAAATTCTTCTTTCAGGGCAACCAGTTACCCCACATGGGTTTTTCTTCATCCCTATTTTTTTACTATTTAACGCATCATCCTCCTGGAAGCTTCTCTTTTGACCTTACTGATGTTGTGTTCTCCTTATGTTGTGTGCTTCATTTCTGTTGCTCTTTGGTTTCCATCTGTGAGTTTCTTTGGCCTGTGTAATAGGTAACACCAGTGTCCCCGCCATTCTTCCTCTGCTTATCAGAAGTGACCTTGATGGCTCATTCTCCTGACCTGTATCTGCTCAACAGATACTCGAATGTCCCAGTTTTCTTTCAAACTAAAATATATAAATTTCAACCCATCATTTTTGTTCCTAGGAACCCCCTTCACACTACCCTACCCACTTCCAGATTTCCATCAAGGGTGTCCTCAGTCTCTTGCAGAATGAAGGCAACTTAACTTTCAGTCTTCTTTTATCCACAGTCAGGCCGAAGTCTTCCTTCATAGTTCTTCCCTGACTTTCCTCCCTTGCACCTGCCTCGTTTATTTCAGGTCTCCATACATGGTGGGGGCCTACTGGATCTTTCTTTCTTTCCAAGAATTTTCACCCTCTGGTTTCCTTTGTAAGTGCTGCCTGACAGCATTTCCAGAGTGCTGCTTTGCATACATTATCCTTTTTCCGGAGCTCCAGAGCGAGGTGTGATGGTGACAGACTAAACAGGAATCCCTGCCTTCAGGATAATGTCCAGACGCTTTACACTGCCACATAAATTTCTGTGCAGTCTGGGTGACATCCTGACAGACTTTATTCATTCAACCTCTGCAGTGTGTCCCTAGTTTGCCACTCAAGAAGCCACTACCAGAGACAAACCAGAGGACTTCTGTTCCCCCTCAAAACTCATACATCGCCACCTTTCTAGTTTTTTTTTTTTCAAGCCATATGTGTTAGTTACCTTCCCGTGACTGTTGCAAATACCTGATGTAATCAACTTAGAAAGGTTTATTTTGGCTCACGGTTTCAGAGGTTTCAGTCCATGATTGGTTGGCACTGTCACTTTTAGTCTTGGAATAAGGTTGGCTTGAATGCATGGCAGTGCAAAACCTCTCACCTCATGGCAGGGAAGAGAGAGAGAAAGAGAGAGAGAGAGACAGACAGACA